CTCAAATGCTTTCATCTTCACTAGGAAAGCTCAGTCTTGTAAATGCCAAGAACACTGGACTCTGCCAGGTTATGAGTTTGGAGAGACTCACATCTGGCTTTAATGACCATCATCGGAAAAAACAACATGTCTGCAGAATCAAGAGAAAGGTTTCTCTGCTTGACGGAGAGAGGATGTGTTCCGTCTCCAGCATGGACGTTCTGGTCAATAAACTTCCTGGTTGCCAAGCACACACTTCAGGCCTGGCTTCACAAAGGACCTGAGAAGGGGACTGCTGGCTGTGCCAGAGGGCCCTCTTCTGGTAGTCAGGGGATAGATAGACTTTGCTTTAAGGGAGAAAGGCCTATAAAACAAGGAGGCACCCTGGATCTGCAGACATGCTTCACCCCTGGCGGGCAGCATCCATCTCACTGTAGAATATAAATAAACAACATTCCTGAGCAGGGACTGGTTCTGGCTCAGGTCGCCACAGTGTCATGCAGATAGTAGTAATACTTCTGAGTGGGAATACTTACAGAATCGGCCTAATGAGAAATCATAACTCATTTTTTGTTCTTTTGTTTAGTGTTGGTTTGGGTTTGTTTAGAAATAGAGCCTCACTATGAGGCCCAGGCTAGCTTTGAACTCACAACCCTCCTACCTCAGCTTCCTAGAGTGCTGGCATTACAGGTGTATATAAGTATAAGGCATAGATAAATAAATTGGTCTCCCTCAGTGATAATTCTATTGAGTTTCTGCAGCTCAGCAGGACCTGCCATAGCATCAGAAGACAGCAGGGATGCCTTTTTACAGCTGTCCTGTTAACAGAACAGGGATGAGGGTAAATTTCTGGGATTAAGGGTTGTGGAAGTAGCTCCATAAAAAATGTGCTTACTGCCCAATCATGAGGACCTGAGTTCAGATCTCCACTACCCGTGTGAAAAGCCAGGCCTAGTGCTGTGCATCTGTGATCCTGGCACTGTAGCTCACTGTAGGTCAAGCCAGTCTAGCTGAAACAATGTGCTTTGGGTTCAGTGAGAGACCCTGCTGGGTTCAGTGAGAGACCCTGTCTCAAAAATAAGGTGAAGAGCACAGGGTCAGCCCACTTGGTCCTGCAAACCTGAAGGAATGGCATGGGAAGAAAGAAATGACAGAAAAGCTAGCTAGAATCTGTGTGCACTGTGCTTACTCTGAAATTGGGTACCCACTCTGTCACAACCCGGAAACTCAAGGAAAGGTTAGCTAGTCTTGGTGGGAGGTCTCTGTAGGGGAAAGTCTCAGACTGCAGTCACCAGGGAGGAGAAAGCTGTGAAGGATGCTAGCTCCTCCCACCCCCAATACACTGTCAGCACACACACACACACACACACACACACACACACACACACACACACACACACACAATTCCCTTGGGTCTGAGGCACTGGGGTCTTTGGCATGGCCATGCACAGGACAACAATATCTATTCACTCAAGACTTCATCTGGTCCCCACAGGAGAGCAAGACATTCAATACCAATCTCTGGGCTGCACAAGCAGCACCTAATGTCATGATATATTGATATATGTAATACATATCAAAGAAGTTATTATGGCCTAGGCACCATTTTAGTGGCCTCATAAATATTATTCGGTGTTCATGGCAAGTCCCCACTGATACTCATACCACCCTCCCTTGCAATTGAGAAGACTGGAGCACAGACAGGGTGCTTGATTTGCCCAAGGTCATTGTCATCAAGTGACAGACTCGAGATTTGCACTTAATCTGTCTAGCTTCATAGACATGTGTGTTCTGGGTTGTTATGCCAATTCTCTGTTTGACCTGGTGGCAGCATATTTGCTTGTTATATTTTTGATGCCTGGTACTTCCCTTGTTTATGCAAAAGAGGACTCCCTGTTTAGATAATGAGCCACGTGAGATTTCAATTGTGATCATTTTTCTCGCTGGTCTACTGATGGGCATAATCTGACTGTTGAACCCCTATAAGAGTTCAATATAGAAAAGGATTTTACCTTCGTGAAAACAACCAAGTTCATTTGCTAAGGGTGGCAGCTGGACTCCGGCTGCTGATTTTCCTCTGGTCTTGGGTCTCCTGAAAGGATTAATCAGAGCTAATCAGGAACAATGCTCTCTTCATTCTCCTTCCATTCTGCACCTGCAAGTGCTCCACAGGACCACAATAGCACTAAACCCCCATTCCCCGGGACAGCAGAGCTGACAACTCTATTGCTGGAGCCAAGAGGGATCACAGAGCAGAGGCCCAGCTGCTGGCAGAGCAAGGGCTGGCTGAATGGGGACAAACAGGGATGGTGCTGCTTCCTCGCTGCCTGAAGTCTTGAACACAGAAGTGTGAGTGAGTGTACAAGTGAGCACACACGTTTACCGTCAGAGGAGCGTGGCTCCTGTCTGAGGCTGGCAGCACTTCAGATATGGTTTACTTATACTTCATTGTATGGTTTCCTTCAGCATCAGCTGCCTTTGCTATAAAGGAATTCCATCCCCAAAGACTCACCAGCCCTGAAAGACTCATTCCCAAAACATCACGATTCTGTAATCAATAGTCCTTAAACTAGAGGAAACGGCCTGTGGGCCTTTACCACACACTTCTTGGGAGTAAAGGGGAGTGGACTTTGTAAGTAACAAGTGGTACTAAACCATAAGGCCAATCATTTCAGGAGAAATGGCCAGACTTCTAGTGCCATAGTTCACAGGATCAAGAGCCTACGGTTAAAGCCTTGGCCTCTTCAAAGTGCTTTGTACCTGCAGACTTTTTAAAAACCAGTCGTCGTCAGCTTATCAACTTCACTGGCCATCAAAGATCCATGTGGTGTCATTGTAAACAGAAAATACAATAAAAGTTCATCATCTGCTTTGAAAGGCAAAACAGTATGAAGTGAAAAGAAGCAAAATCCTAGAGACACCGACCTTGAGTTAGAACCCCAATTCTATCAGTGCCCATGGTCTACTCAAGCTCTGTGAACTCCAGTCTTCTCATTGATCAAAGGGATAGTTATGTCTGCCCCAGGGATTTGATTTTCTAGTGAAAGTTAATTGCGATAACAGGGAAAGCACCTGGCACCTACAAAGTGTGTTCAGTAAATCTTACCCCTACATAAACGTGAGAAAAGTGTTATTAGTAAGTATTACTAAGAATGTTACTACATTCTGAGCCAGGTGGTGGTGGCGCACGCCTTTAATCCCAGCACCCAGGAGGCAGAGGCAGGCAGATCTCTGTGAATTCAAGGCCAGTCTGGTCTACAAAGCTACACAGAGAAGCCTTCCCTTGAAAACTCAAAAAGAAAACAAAAAAAAAAGAATGTTACTACATTCTACGCATTTGCAGAGAGCCATGGTGGGGGGAAGTGAGGTCACAGTCTTGCCGAACATCCACGGCATGAGCACCGGGATAGATGAGAAGGCATCATCCAGTTTAAAGGGCTCATACTCTGCCCAGGAAGGCAGGATGCTCACATAGTGTCCAAACTGTACCTGACTTGCAGGTGTGCTGTGCCAGGCACCATACTTCCACCACCTCACCCTTCCTGCCATTTCTTCAGAAGCAGAGTCCCCTCTAATGTTTCTCATCATACAGTGTGACAGTGGCTGCTGCTTCCCATTTTCCAGATGATTAAACTGAGGCTTGGCAAGGTTGTTACCTAACACCACAAAGCTCTCAGCGGGCTTTGGTTTTTATTTAGTTGTTGTTTGTTTTGCTTTGAGATAGTGTCTCCCTATGTAGCTAATTTGGCCTGAAGCTCAGGTGTCACACAACCTGGCCTGGTATTGGTGATCCTCCTGTCTCTGCTTCCTTAGCGCCTTTGCCACCTAGCTTCAAGTAGTGTGGTTTGGTGCAGAGGACTAGTTACTACTCTACCACAGGAGAACTCAGAGGCTAGTGAGACCCAGCTTCTTGGAAGGATCAAGTTGGGCTTTCTAGGAAAAGCAGGGGTGGGCCTGGCGTCCAAGCCTGCAATCCTGTCTATTAATCCAAGAGAGGCTGGGCTGGAGTAGGGTTCCAAGGTTAAGGCCTGCCAGGGCTACAGAGCTCAAGAACGGGTGGAGACTGCCGTATGCATTGTGTGCATACATGCATGTGTTTTCGTGTGTGTGTGTGTGTGTGTGTGTGTGTGTGTGTGTGTGTGTGTGTGTGTGAGAGAGAGAGAGAGAGAGAGAGAGAGAGAGAGAAAGAGAGAGAAAACAGAGCAGAGATCATAGGGGCAGCCATCCATCCACCCAGAGGTCCCAGAAGTACTGAGGGTGGATTTCCTGTAGAAAATGGGGCGGGGACCCAGAATTTCACCTAGTTTGCACTCAAGTAACCGCCTACATTTCTAAAGAACACACCACAGTTTACAAATTCCTTGCACAAAAATGTCCCCTTTGACTAGGACGACAGGCAACCTGTGTTGGGCAATTTATAAATCCTCACCGAGCTGAGTTCACTGCGGGCCCAATGAGTGTGATTCTGTTACTGTCCCTCCCAGACAGGAAAACAGAAGCCAAGGTCAGTTGTCATGTGCCAACAGTAGGACTGGAACCCAGAACTAATTCGGGGAAGGACTCGCTTAACCTCAGTCCCCAAACAACCTGATTAAGAAGCAAGCAAGTTATTGTTCGAGCATTGCAGGTGGGGAGCACACACACACACCCACACCCACAAACACACAAGAAGGAGGAGGAAGGGAAAGAGAGAGAGAGAGAGAGAGAGAGAGAGAGAGAGAGAGAGACTGGCAGGTTCACTTTGCTCATGATTAAACCAGGTTTCCTGGCACCGTGTCCCCACTCCCAGACTGAAAGGCACAGAGAGCCTGCAGGAGGCGACAGGCGACTGGCCTTGTGGACACACCCTTGGCCCCGGGTCTGCCTATCTCCACTCAGCAGCTGTGCTACCCTCCGCCTTGAGAGGAATACTCTCAGACTCCCAGACTCAGCACCCGCTGCCCTGTACAATCATTCGGGTTGTGCCGAGGCAAGATTAGGGAAGACCCGCCCTGTGCAACACCCTCTGGGTGGTACTGGCTAGGGTTGGTGACACCTCCTCACCCAGGATATGGGACCAAGGGAGGCGGGATCCAAGCTCCTGGGTCCAAACCCAAGGAAGGAAATGGAAGGGTGGCATGGTGTCAGACAGAAGGGAAAGCAAAAAGGTGGAAGGCCAAGGCCAGCGGGGGTGGGGGTGGGGGTGAGTGGGTCAATGGTCTATGCCCTCGATGCGCAGCAGATGCGCGAGGCCGCGAGCCCCAGACTCTGCCTGGCAAGTGCAGACTGATTGCACAGGATCAAACACCATGCAAGGTTAGTACACCGTGTCCTAGGTAGGGCGTCGGATTTTAATACAGACTAAAAGCCGCCCTCCTTCCTGTCCTCCTCCCGCAGAGGGGGGTGACTGGGCCCTGGCAGATCGCCTGTCCCCGCCCCGCGCCCTCCCCAGAGCCTCCTGCGGGCTGAGGTCGCCGCCCAGCAAAGCCTGGGCCCTCCTCCCTTGCTTGCCGCAGGTCTCGGCCCATCACCCGAGCCTGGTCCCACCCGCCAAACCACATACTTTCACCATCCTCTCACCCTTTCCCCCGCCCTTCCCGTCTTCCCGGCCCTGTCCTCGCCACTCCGATGATTTTTAAGTCCGCCGCTACCTTTCAGTGGCTAGAGAAAGAAGGAAAGGCTCGTGTTTGCCAGCGTTTAAATTACCTCTGAAAACACCCAGTGGTAAAGACAACAAAAGGGGACAGTTTCTTCAACTGCTTCTGCAGAGAAGCGGGAGGGGTGGCCCGGTAACCTCCACCCACCAGCCTCACGCCCACCAGCTGTCTTCTGGGAGGAAGGCACCCGGGTCTTACCCCTGTTCCCTCCCCCACCTCCTCTTTGGGCAGGCAGGCTGTCTAGGCCAGCTGCAAGGCTTGTCCATCTCCTCTCTCAGCTAGACGGCATGGTCCCTTGTGCCTGCGCAGAAACCAGGACTTTTTACTCGGAGGGCTGCGCTATTGCCTTCCCCCCTCGCCATGTCCGCTACGGACCCTTTCTGGATCAGCTTCGTTCCCACAGGCAACGTCACCTGCTATCTCATGGCACCTGTATATTCCAGCCCAGTTTAAGCAAGCCCTTAATTTCCATTTCCTCCAGCAAATAAAACTGCCTGATTCCAACTTCTGAGGACCCAAGGAAGACAAGAGCCTCTGTCCCTGAGGCCATTTTCAGCAATGCTCCTAGAATCTGTCCACAGCCACAGCCGGTCCCCTACGGAAGTCCCTTCTTAAACAATCGCCCTGGCAACCATCCAGAACAAGGAGAGAGCTCTGCACTCCTTCACTGGCCCTGCCTGTCCTCAGGAAAGCTTAAGCTTCCCGTGCCTCTTCCCTACTTCCTTACAATCTGGCGTCTAGAGAATCACCTGTAGCAGGACTATCCTCCTGGAAAGAATCAGGCTGAGAAAGATGTCTGCAAGAAAACATTGAACGCTAGAGTGTGGACATGTTCAAGCCTCTAAGCTACTGTCTGCTGCTAATGATGTGAGCTTGGGCGGGTCACTTGCTAAACACCAAGTTTTTCTCCAGAGTGCTGCCTGCTGCCCATAAAAAAAATAAATAAATAAATAAAAATGGTGCCAGGTACCACAAGGGTAACAGAACTGTGCTATTTTTTCTGGGATTTTGTTTTTTACTTTTTTTTTTTTAATGGAGAGTGCTGGATGTCTCTACAATTTTGCTCAAATGACTGAATAACCTGGAAAAGCTGTTGCTTCTATTGATGCATAACATACTGCCATTATTGATAGATATATATATATATATATATATATCAATATGAGAGAGAGAGAGGATACGCAACTGTGTAGGCACAGTTCTTCCCTTCCCTGCTCGCCACTACAGATGGAGCCCAGGGCATCCATCACACATGCTACCGTATGTCCCTGGCAGCTGGCCTGCCACATCTCCACACTGCCGCCTGAAGCCACCTGGAGAGCTCTTTTCAGAGACAGCCACTTGAGTGGAAGTGGGATTCTTGACTTCACTGCAGAAAAGCGTTTCAGGGCAAGCCAGTATGAAGCAGAGTTGGGGTTTGTTAAGAAAACATGTCTGGTTTAAGAAAAGAGGGAAGGGCTAGCTGGGCATGGAGGCAAAGACATTTAATTCCAGCACTCGGAGGCAGAGGCAGGGGGAATCTCTGTGAGTTCAAGGCCAGCCTGGTCTAGAGAGTGAGTTCCAGGATGGGCTCCAAAGCTACAGAGAAACCCTGACTCAAAAAAGGAAGAAAGAAAGAAAGAAAGAAAGAAAGAAAGAAAGAAAGAAAGAAAGAAAGAAAAAGAGGGGAGGACTCGGGTCAGAGATAATACACACCGAGAACTACAGGTGTGTAGACCTTTCAAGGGACAGTCTCCCCCACGTGTCTTAGTGGTAGCCATAGATACAGTTTTGGTAGGTCTCAGGTTATATCTCAAAGCAAGACTAATGTAGGGCCCAGAGCAGCTTGGTACACACCTTCTACTTGACCCTAAGGCAACACCTGACCCCAAGAAAAGACCACAAACTGGGACCACCCAAGCACCACCCAGGAATGGACCATCCAAGGGGAAAACGCCTAACATTCCAACACAAGGTGTCCCTCAACCCAGCACACACCCATCCCCTTTCACCAAGGCACCCCTAGACAAATGACAGCCAATCAGGGGTCCTGAACCTTAGAAACCCCCACCCCAACCTCTGCTATGATAAAAACCCCCACCCCAGTTGAGCTGGAGGCTGTCTGATTGTGCCAATGAGAGTCCAAATTCAAACTTGAATAAAGGCTCTTTGCTTTTACATACAGGATTCCATCTCCTTGCTGGATATTGGGGGATTCTGAGATCTGGGCATAACACTAAAAAGCCCTTTTTTCTTGCTCCACCTTTTTTCAATAAATGAGATTAAAGTGTGATTCCAGAGGCTCCTTGGATAAGATTGCTATCTGAGAAAGATGACAAATCCGTGAGCCACAAGAGTTGTGCAAGGGGGTTAAGACATGTCCATCACCATAAATGGGGTTTCTGGTGAGGTTCTGTCAGCTGGGAAAGGGGAAAGGCCAAACCCACTTAGGTCTAAAGCATGAGTCACAGCCATTTACCATCTCTATATAAAGTGAGTACTATCTCGAGGTAGATAGACTCACCACAAGTTTCGTGGATTGCACTGGAACTTAGTTCTCAGCTGGCAAGGGACTCCAAGCAGACTCCAGCATAAAGGACTCCCTTCTGTTCCCTTCCTACGGCCCCTTAATTTCCTTATCTTTCTATGCTGTCTCCTCCCATTGTTTGAGACCAGGTCTGGTGCATGTAGGCAAGAATGACCTCAAACTTCTTCTGGTCTTTCTGCCTCCACCTCCCAAGGGCTGGAATTACGTTGTGCACTACCTTGTCTGGTGTATACTGGGCTTGAGCCGGGGACTTTATGTGAGCTAAGGTAGCACTCTACCAACAGAGCAGCAAGCTCAGACCCCAGGAAGAATTTTTGTCTCCAGTGGTGGTGGTGATTTTGGGGGGGGGGGGTTGTTGTTTGTTTTGGTTTTGGGGTTTGGGTTTTGATCTTTGGATTTTATTTATTTTTTTTGTGGTGGTGGGTTTGGGGTTTTTTATTGTTGTTTGGTTTTTGTTTTGAAACAAGGTCTGCACAGGGACACAGGACCTGTGTTTCAGGACAACACTAAAACACTCCAGACTGGAATGTGCTATGTGGATCCACCTGCCTCGGCCTCCAGAGTGCTGGGATCAAAGGTATGCACCACCACACCCGGCCTCCAGGAGTTCATAGCCAAGTGCTTTTCACCCAGCCAGCTGTCAGTAATGTTGCCTATGATCATTTAGGCAACATCTGTAAACCCCTACAATGAACAAGCATGAACCCCCCTGCCTCAAGAGTCTTTCGGTCCAAAGGAAGAGTAGAGTGTGCAAACAACTGGAAATGAAGAAAACCAGAACTGGGCTGATGTAGTTCCGTGGGAGAATGGACGCCCTGTGTTCAACAAACAAACAAAAATCAACAACAAAAACAGCATTAAGAAACACCATTATGCTAGGCGTTGGTGGCGCACTCCTTTAATCTCAGCACTCAGGAGGCAGAGGCAGGCGGATCTCTGTGAGTTTGAGGCCAGCCTGGTCTACGAGAGCTAGTTCCAGGACAGCCTCCAAAGCCACAGAGAAACCCTGTCTTGAAAAACAAAACAGAAAAAAGAAAGAGAGAAAGAAAGAAAGAAAGAAAGAAAGAAAGGAAGGAAGGAAGGAAAGAAAAGAAAGAAAGAAAGAAAGAAAGAAAGAAAGAAAGAAAGAAAGAAAGACCATTCCAGGTGACAATGAGGCAGGGTGAGCTTCAGGGAGATCACAGAGAAGGAAGGCTGATCTTGGGGGCAGAGCACCTGGACAGCCCCACCCAGTCAACCCCAGCCCCACCCCACTCCCCAACAGAGCTACAAATCCTAAGTGAAGCAGGAGGAAGAGGCGGGGAGTGCGGCCCCGGAGGCGGGACCCAAGCACAAAGTTAACTCTGGAGAAACAGTTGAGCCCCGGCCCCACCCTACTGGAGTCTACAGGGAACCAAGCATCCGGAGTGCTTTACAGAGACCTGTGGTTCAGTATATTCCTGAAAGGCACGCGTCCGGGTGGAAACTGTGTGTAGAACTACATGTAGCGGGTACAGGGAGCACTGAAAAGCCTGCGCTATGAAAATGAACCGAAAGCTTATGCAATGTGACACACAAGTCACCCCTCCTCCTACACATTGCTTGGTGCCTCTGAACGTCTCTTCTCCATCCAAATCCACCTGTGGTGATGTGTTCCTTCTTAAATTCTCCTGTTTGTAACTTAGTGTCCACTTCTTACGCCAGGACACCAGAATCCTCAAGTTTTTCCGGAAGAGCCCGCTGAGCTCTGCTAGGCATAGCCCTGCTAAAAATCACTAGCACGGCTTTGATGAAGGAGTAGGTCACCGGCCCCCTTTATCTGTTCTTAGTTGGCCTGGTGAAATGGATGCTTAAAATGCAGTCAGTCAGCTGGGCAGAGATAACACACACCTTTGATCCCAGCAGTTGGGAGGCAGAGGCAGGCGGATCTCAGTGAGTTCTAGGACAGCCTGGTCTACAAAGCAAGTTCCAGGACAGCCTGGGCTGTTACACAGAGAAACCCTGTCTCAAAAAAAAAAAAAAAAAAAAAAAAAGGAAGAAAAAAGATGCTGTCACTCAGCCTCAGGAAGGAAGAGATTATGCAGTAAGTCAAGCCTATTTGTTGGGGTTTTTCTTTCTTTTTTTTTTACTCTTTACTCTTTGGGGGCCTGCCACCCAGCTCCCAAATCAATCACAGAGACTTATAATAATAATAATATTTATAAATGCCCGGTCTTAGCTTGGCTTATTTCTAGCCAACGTTTAACTTTTGCCCATCTACCTTTTGCCTCTGAACTTTTACCTTTCTCTATTTCTGTATATCTTTTTTTTCCTTCTTATTTTGTGTCTGGCTGTGTGGCTGGATGGCTGGCCCCTGGCATCCTCCTCTCCTCCTTTTCTAACTCCTCCAGCCTATATTTCTCCTATTATTTATTCTTTCTGCCTGACAGCCCCACCTATCCTTTCTCCTACCTTGCTAGTGGCCATTCAGCTCTTTATTAGGCCAATCAGGTGCTTTAGGCAGGCAAAGTAGCACAGCTTCACAGAGTTAAACAAATGCAACATAAAAGAATGCAACACATCTTTGCATGATTAAACAAATGTTCCACAGCATACAAGAATATAACACATCTTTAACTAGTATTCCACAACACTGTGGTGCTTCCTCAGTTTCCCTGCTCTTTACTGACACCCCGGTGCTCATCTGGGTATGGTGGTTTGAAAAAAAATGGCCCCCAAAGGGAATGACACTATTAGGAGGTGTGGCTTTGTTGGAGGAAGAGTGTTACTGTGGGGATGGGCTTTGAGGTCTTCTTTCTCAGGCTTCACTCAGTGTGACAGTCAGTAGAGTTACTGCTGCCTTCTGGTCAGATGTAGCCACCACCACGTCTGTTGCATGCCACCATGCTCCCCGCAATGATGATAATGGACAAAACCTCTAAAACTGTATGTGAACCACCCCAATTAAATGTTTTCTTTATAAGAGTTGCTGTGAACTGGGTGTTGGTGATGCATACCTTTAATCCCAGCACTCAAGTGGCTGTGAGTTTGAGGCCAGCCTGGTCTACAGAGCGAGTTCCAGGACAGGCTCCAAAGCTACATAGAGAAACCCTGTCCCAAAACAAACAAACAAAACAAAACAAAACAAAAAGAGTTGCTGTGGTCATAGTGTCTCTTCACAGCAATAAAAAACCCTAAGACAGAAGTTGGTACCAGGGACTGGGGTATTGTGATAGACCTGACCATGTTTTTGTTTGGAGAAATATGGACTTTGATACTTTGGGTTAGGAAAGCAGTGGAATGCTTGAAGCACTGCTTAATGGGCCATCCCAGTAGGAGCATGGGAGAGACAATGGTGCTGATAATGATTTGAAATGTCCAGAGCTGGCTCAAGAAGTTTCAGAGGAGAATTTTAGTATGCTGCCTAGAGATAATTCTTGGGATATTTTGGTGAAGAAAGTGGTTGCCATTTGCCCTTGTCCAAAGAGTCTGCCTG